CTGGATTATAATTCTAGTAAAAATTTCAGGAATTTTAGAAGATAAAGTAAATAATACAGAATTGGCTAAAGAAGAATATATAACATCTGAAATTTCTTTTTCTTTCATAGCAGAATATCGTGCTAAAAAACATTCTTTTTTATAAAAAGCTCTGTATAAGTTGGACATCCATTATTAAGCATCAATTTTGTAAAAATCAAAATAATTTTCATTATTTATTTAAAACAACAAACTGAGTAAAACTCAATTAAACACAGATGCTACGATTTAAACAAGCATATTGTTCATTTTCATTATAGATATTATTTTCTTTAATAATAGTTAAACAAGTAAATTTATTATCTCCAAAGTAATTTTTCTCAGAAGAAACTATGGGTATACACTAAGAGAAAAAAGTAGTTTATATTTAAAATATCGTAAGTTAGGAAGAAATTCTTTAAATATTAACTGAGGAAATGTAATAATACCATAATATTATAATTAATAATAAATGTCTCATAAATACGAGGTTTTTTTAAACAAATCATTTGTTACAGTAAGGTATAGTAGATATTAACAAATCTTTTAATCGGAAATATACGTATATTTAAAAATAACTATTATGTTTATCTAAAGAATACAAATTGCTTAATATTAAAATTACCTATAACTAATTAATATATTATAAATTTGCATTTATTTTTAAGTGCAGTGTGCAGTCCCAGAGAGTAGGTAATTTGAGTTTTACTTATTGGCAACATGGTACCTACCCAGACATCACACCAAATCTCAGAGATATCCGCAGAATGTCTTTTGTGGATATCCAATATATCCACAGGATATCAGAAATATTCCGTGGATCTAACATGGATATCCAAATATCTGTCTATATCCAGGATATAGAAGATATCCTAATGAATATTCAACAAAATATCTAATGGTATCTTCCAGAAAATACAAGAAATCACAGAGATATCCACAGAATATATTTTGTGGATATTCAATATATCCAATATGGATATCCAACCAAATGTCCGTCTATATCCCAGGATATAGAAGATATTCGGATATTCAGCAAAATATTTTATGGGTATCTTTAGTAGAGGTTCATAAGTAACCAATGATTATTGAATTACGTCGAAAGAAAATAGCAGAGATAAAAAATATTTTCAACACTCAAATAATTTCAACACTCTGCCTTTGATTTTACCCACTAAGGAGAAAGGCATCCTTATTAGGACTCTTCAGCAATAAATGAAAATTCTCGACTCCAGTCTCTAAATGAGTGATTAGGACACACATTTCGATCGAACTCAATTACGGCGGTTAAATAGAACAGTTGAAATTTACGATTTCTTATACATAAGTACTTAAAATTTCAAATTTGTTTGACAGGATTTTATCGGTTTGGGTCCAAAGATAAGAAAACCAATATTTAGTCCTAAGAAATTTTAAATTTTGAGTATGTATGTATAAAAAATCATATATTTTAACTGTTTTATTTAAAAAACAACAAAATAAGTAAAAAACATTTAAAAACAGACGCAACGATTTAAATGAGAATATTTTTCATTTTCTTTATACATATTATTTTCTTTAATAAAAGTTAAACAAGTAAATTTATTACCTCCAAAGAAGGTATTTTTCACAGAAAACACTATATAATTAAGTTCACATTTATATTAAAACTATAATTAGTACCAGTTGTAGGTAAATATCTTTTAGCATCGTACAACTGTCATCTTAATAAAAATCTAGTAACCTTTGTATAAATATACACTTTTTACTACTTTTGTACAATCGTTCACCATTTTGGCTACTAGTGAACCTTTGCAATATAAGGTACTTTAATATACTCTTTCGTGCAATCGTTCAGTGCTTGAGATATTCCTTATATAAGGTAAACGTTCCTATTATCGGCACCTTAAGCTCATTGCATACCGTAAGGTATGCTTTCAATTCATTTGATATAGAAAATACTCTAGTAACCTATGTTCTGATTATTAAACCTTTTATTAGATGTATCATATTACATATGGAAAAAGTTATTTTGAAAGAAAGTAAATACCTAATAATTATTAAAAGCAATAATATAAAAAATTCGATATGCCCCGATTATCGGCATCTGAAAATAAATTCATGTTCTATTTTTCGGCATATATAAGATCCTTTTATCAGCACCGAATCATCAATCAAGTAAGTTAAAATTGAGATTTCTAAAAAGATTTTTATTAAGTAAATAATATAATAATATAATCCTATGTTCTATAAAAGCTAGATGCAAAATATTTGGTATTCCATTTTAAAAATCAAATTTGACTTAAACTCAATAATTTACTTGTCATTGACAAAAAGAACATTGTAATTCACATGTCCCTCCCTTCGGACTAAGAAAAAAGCCGTTTCATCACAATTGAATACACGACTGGGGTCAGAAGTTACGTCAAGATTGTTCTATAAACCATTGACGAATACGATTTTCTGTTAGGCTGTTTCTAGCACATGTGAGGTTCTAGGAAATCATTTCAAACAGTTCTGGATGTCTTTTTAAAAATAATTCATACCATTTGTGACCAGGCTTTCCGTCTGTAAAATTATTAGACCTATCTAGTTCTTTAATCATCAGTAACTAAACACTTTCTAACAACTGTATTTTCGTTGCTGGAAATCCACAGTTTGCAATCCGAAATAGCCAGGCTACTAGTAAATTTTCTTCTTCCTTCGTCAGCACCGTTTCTGGTCCATATTTCTTCTCTAAACGCGTTCCATCTTTAACTTTATCTTGTAGAGTCGATCTGGGTATCTTATATATTATGCTAGCGGTTTTAAATGGCATTCCTGATTGAATAGCTGCAACAGCCTAATTTATGGCTCCAACAGAATATTGTATTCGTTTTTTCTTCTCCATTGTAAGATTATTTCGATCTCCAATTACCGGCACGTAAAAGCTCGTATTATCGGCACAGTTTTTGTGTCAAAATAAAGATGATATCTAGTGGGAATATGGGGTGCCGAAAATTGGTAGAAAATATCATCACTTCATATTGCATTTAATGACCAAACATTATCGAGGATAAGTTAAAAGCTAAGCTAAAATCGACCTAAATAGAGTCTGAAGCATACAGCCAATTATCGGCACTGCTGCCGATGATTGAGTCAGCCACTAATTTTCATGTACCAATTATTGGCACACTTGGAATTCTCAAGAAAGCTATGAAAAGGCAGTTTTTGACAAACAAATATCAAAAATAATAATGTCAAACATACAAAAGTTAAAAAAACGATCATAAGGTACTTTATTCAGGAAGTATAACACAATGCAGTTTACCTGTTTCTAAACACTTGCAACAAGAAACACTACATATGAGAGGTCAGCTGGAACTGACCAATATATTTTTGATAGTTACCACTACCGACTTTAGCCGACAGTCTGTCGGTTTTTCAGTGACGTAGATAAAGGTTCGCAGAAATGCAAGAAATACTTTTATATGTTTATCTAGCAACAAAAACCTTATTTTTCGGGATTATATAAAATTAGTGTCGATAATTGGTACAGTGCCGATAATTGGTACATTTACCTTACCTATCCTTTATACCTACTTTTGTCCAATTTTTCAGTGTTTTATACCTACCTTATGGTATCACACATCTGTAATTGTGTTACCTTGTGATATACCTACCTATATTATTAATACCTACCTCTATTTGTATGATATTGGTACTTGATTTCAAAAGCTTTTTAATAATAAATTTATACAATTTTTTATTTTGTTCTATTCACATTTTACTAGGTATATCCTCATAATTTCTCAACGTTAATTGTATTTATTTAACAAGCAAAATAAATTATAAAGTACTTTTTTAAATTTAAAATAAATATTTTTACAATTATTGTTAAGTCCATCCTTGAACACACTGTATAATACTGTAGAATGAATTCACATTATAACACCTATGGAACGTTTCAGAGCAACTTTCGGAGATTGATAGTGTGATGTTTTCCGAACTTCACTTTGTAACCTCTATGAGATGTGATATAAAAGTCTTGCCGTTGTGGACATTCGGCAATTGCATGGATATTAGGGTTATATTAAAAATATATTGCATGCGAGCTTAAAGAACCTAAAATTGCAGCTTATTAACGTAGATGGGATGTTTTTGTGTTAACTGGGATGCGATTAATCACAAATGCTGATTGGTTGAATTACGTTGTTTAAAACAGATGTGTTTTAGTTAACAGTTAAACTTTTCTAAAAAGTTAATTAGGTACACGTAGTTTTTAACTAGAATAGATGTACCTAAAAACCAATAAACAAAACCAATTTACCTGCATCAGTTAAACATTCAATTTGGGACAGCTGGCACTTTTCAAAAAAAAATTCTATTTATTTGAAATTGTTACACGATTTAGGCACTATACTGTAGGTTGGTATCTACTAAATAAAAAAATTAAATATTACTGTTTAGCTGCTATTTTCTCAGTGTAGTTTCATTACTTATTTAAATAAATACAGTTAAATAAAAATACCTAAAATCAATCGCCCTTTTGTGAACCGATTATTTATCTAAATCATCAACGTATCAAATATATCTAGGTAGATATATAATTTAATGACTCTTAAGCCATTATATCGATTATTCAATCGTCTGAAAACCTGACGCTAAATAAACCAATTAATTTTCTTAACAAAAAATTATAATTACATAAAATGTCCGAGTGGGTACTACAATAAAAACAGCAACTAAAAGTCCGCTGACACCTCAATTACCAGAACTAAATGACACTCGGCCCCGCCTAGCCATTCAGCGCGCGCACCGAAAGGCGTTCCCGTTTGATAATTTCAAAAACAAATATGCGACTGTCAACTCTCCGTCTTGATCCGTAAAAAAATCTTAACGAATAGCCTGTAACCTGTTTGTTTTAACGCTAACTATGCCATAAACGTAATATCCCTGCATTTATCGCTCTCTAAACGAGTTTTTCTCGGTGCAAATAAGGGGCGGTAAAACCGTACCTTATTCCATTTACAACGCTTCGATCGACCAATAAGAAAGCGGCGCTATATCGCTGGGATTGTACGTACTAAACCAATCCTTATTCCTTCGCTCCCTACTTAGTCCCCACCAGGCTAAACTCTTCAGCAACGTTTATACCAGTTATTAACTCACGAGATTTGTAAGTGGCAGCAACATCGACGTTTTTACACCCTTGATTATCGTTTTAAAACTTGATAAAAAAAAACTCTTCGAACTGTCAATTCCCAGTGTTAAGTGTTATCTGTTTATTATTTTGATTAATTTCTTGATGGTGTATTGTGACTTTCTTTGTTGCTTTCCGACGGACCGCGGGTACTGATAATAGTGTTAAAAACAGTGATGATGGTGTTGAGAAAAAGTTGTAGCTTGAGCATACGGAATATCAAATGCTAGCGCTACAGAATTTGCCTCGTTTGACGTTTTTAAACACAACCATGATGCCTCTGGCACCTACACCAATAGTGGCAGTGCCTTCGAAGCCTAAAATAGGTTTTTCCATAGACTCAATCGTCGGCGGTGCTCACCAAGCTAGTCCACAACATTCGCCGCTACATTACTCGGAAAGTTCGGCACCACTTTCGCCTAGTAGTGACGCGGATAATAGACTGAACGGCTCTCCGAAACAGTATACTAGTTCTCCCCAAAGATCACCCGTTAGTTCTCCAAAGCCACCGATTATGGTTCCTGGAATACCAGCGCATACGTTGGTGCGGCCGAATCCTACCTACGAAAATATGGTAGCGAAAAATGCTTTCCTTCAGCCTGAGATGATGCATAATCATGGACAACATCCGTTTGCGCTGGCGGCTCAGTTTCAAGGAGCTGCTTTGGCCGCCGCGCTTACCGGTTCTCATCATGGGTTTCCTGGTCATCCGTCGCAAATGGCGCAACAGGCTCAGCCTAGAGACAGTTATCCTTTGTATCCTTGGTTGTTATCGAGGCACGGGAGAATATTTCCGCACAGGTTTCCTGGAGGTGAGTACAATAGGTTTTTTATGCCTACAATTTCATAATCAGTATACCTACCTACATCAGAATTGTTCGCTGTTTAGATAATTAGTAAAAGAACAATCTGAACTGCAAAAGACATCGTATAACTTTTTTATTTGGGTGAAAACAAAATTGGATTAACCGAATTTAAATTATAAGTGTGTTCTGCTAAAAAAGTTTCCTAAAACCAAATTTTACAATAAAGATAAACACAAGTTAAGAACATGTTTACACAAAATAGTTTATTTACTTTTGTACTAACATTGCTAGAATCAGTAAAAAAAAATATCGCTATTAAATACCTAACCCTACTTTAGTTTTGTTGTTATGTACAGCTACTTTGGTAAATTGGCATCACTGGTGCACAAAATAACTTTGCAAAGTGAACAAGCGTGTATTGAAAATAATAAGGTGAATATGAAGGAAATAATTTTTCATATATCGTCGTTGTAGAGTCAAAACCTCAACAAATTACCAGGTTTTCAGGAAACTCTAAAAACTTTTTTTTGTAATAGTTAATTTTGTAAAAGTAGCTTGTTTATGTACCTAATAGAAAAAGGGAAGTCAAAAAGTTGCCAAATGGTTAAATTACATTCAGTTGCGACAAAATATGAGTTAGGTACGAGGTTTTGACTCTACAACAACGATATATCTACATTTAAAACTGTATATACCTAGTGGAATTTTTGGAAATTTATTTTAGCTATTTGCAAATAAATATTAAATAAGAATATCTACTTATAAATATGTACCTACTTTTAAATATTACCGTGCCCAGTGTATATTTTTTTGAATAGTGACCACTGCTATTAGTAAAAAAAATCTTAAAATTAAATGTTAATAAACTAGAATGAAGATATACAGAGTGTTAGTATATTCGACAGACAATGCTTGCTCTACCCTAGAGAGCTCTCGTTAATTGATGAATTTTGATATCGGATCATGAACCGTTAAAGTGCTTAGCTACTTAGAGATACAGGGTGTTGAAAGTTATAAATCAAAATTCAAAATTTGCCATAAGTAAATCAAAAACGTCGTTAAATATTTTTTTCAAATTGGATCTAGAAAGACATTGTCAAATAGGTATAAACTATAAAAATTTGACACGTGCCTACTAGATTAGAATTTAGATTTTTGTTATTACCTTTTTAACTAAAAATAAACAGATAATTTTAAAAAAAATTAAAAAGTATTTTTATCAGTGGCTTAATAACAGTGGGAAATAGTTGCCACTATCCTTGATAGTGCCATGTGCTAAAAATAATTTTAAAAAAATGACTAGTGGCTTAAAAACAGTGGGAAAAAGTAGCCACTAACTTTGATAGTGCCACTGGTAAAATTTTCCCAAAGTTAGTTCATGTCAAAATATTACTTTCTTGAAGAACATATTTGTCACCAAATTTGAAAAAATATTTAGAGACTTTTTGATTTTTATAGCTGATTTTTAATTTTAATTTCAAACTTTTAACACCCTGTATCTCGATAACTAAGCTCTTTAAACACCGTGTATAATGTTTGGCATTCTATATTATACTCTTCAGAGTTTAACAAGCGCCCCTTAACCCCCCCATTTTTAAATTCAGTAGTCTTCATCCCCTTAAAGAGCTTGATTTGTTACAAAAAAAATCCGGTTGACATCGCTTTTCGTTTCTGATTTCTGCTTTTTTTATTAACTTCAACTCCCCTTAACTCCCCATTTTTATTATTATTTTCAAAATGAAAAGGGTTCGCCCCCTAATAGAGCTTCATTTTTGTCAAAAATTTCATTTAATTTTTCGTTTTTTGAATTGATTTTTTTTTAAATATTTCCATCCCCCATTTTTAATTAATTTTTTCAGGATCAATAGGTTTCATCCCCTTCTAGTTCTTGATTTTTACTAAAAATTTCATGTTGATATCTCTCTTCGTTTTTGATTTTTGTTTTCGTTTTTTCGTAAGGTTCAACCCCTTTTAACCCCATTACTTTTATTCACAGGATTTCACTAAAAAGTTTTATATTGCTTTTCGTTTCTGGTTTTTGAATTTTTTTAAACATGAATGATTTTTGCTAAAAATTTAAAGATGATATAATTTTTAGTTTATGAGTAAGAATTTTTTTTTAATATTTAACCCCCTTTAAGTGTGAAGGATTTTGTTACAAATTTTTTAAAATCTAAATTAATATGAAAAATTTTGGTTTTTTCTTTGAAGTAAACTCATAAATAATAGGTATTCTTCAAAGACTACTGTGTGGAGAGTAATAAATGCAAAGAAATATTCCTGAATTATTTTTTGTTTCGGTTGTAATCGTGTTTAAGTTAATTTATTTTAATCTACGCCACTGAATAAATAAAAACTAGTATCCAAAAACTATTTCCGTACAAATATTTTTTATAATTTATATATACCTATCTATATTTATCTATACCCATATATACCTATCTATACCTATCTATACCTATCTATTCCTATCTATACCTATCTATACCTATCTATACCTATCTATACCTATCTATACCTATCTATACCTATCTATACCTATCTATACCTATCTATACCTATCTATACCTATCTATACCTATCTATACCTACCTATACCTATCTATACCTATCTATACCTATCTATACCTATCTATACCTATCTATACCTATCTATACCTATCTATACCTATCTATACCTATCTATACCTATCTATACCTATCTATACCTATCTATATCTATCTATACCTATCTATACCTATCTATACCTATCTATACCTATCTATACCTATCTATACCTATCTATACCTATCTATACCTATCTATACCTATCTATACCTATCTATACCTATCTATACCTATCTATACCTATCTATACCTATCTATACGTATCTATACCTATCTATACCTATCTATACCTATCTAACCTATCTATACCTATCTATCTATACCTATCTATACCTATCTATCTATAATCTATGTTTTAAGATACCTACCTACCTAATATAAAAAACAAAAACTTTAGGTACCTACCTACATTATATTTCGTATACCTAAGTGTACTACAAAAAAATAAAAAATTTAAAAAATGTATAGGTATTTTTAATTTATTGTAGGTATTACTAGGTATTATGAATGTAGATATGATATCAATTGTTAATATTGTGAATATGATTAAAATAATTTAAAAATAAGCCAATTGTTTCCTTAAATAATTATATATGAAGCTTATACAGTAAATTTCATTGTAAGAACGAGATAACCTAAGTTCAAAAGTTTAACAAATTTATTGAAAAATTTGTAATTGTCGTTTAACTGTCTCATAAACAAACAATGTAGATGCAACATTGAAACCAACTAGACATTGAGGCTAATGTCTTTAAAACAAAGAATTCTTGTAGAGATATGTAATAATTTATTGCTATTTGAATCAATTTAATTTTATAACAATGAGTATTGAATGTTACATAATAAGATCCACAGATGTTTAATGTCATTTGCGTTACTGATATGATCAAATTAGTATGGTAATTATTTTAAAAGATGATTATGAAAAAACGTTTAACGGCAAAAATGTTTATAATTGGTTAACGTTTCTTCTATTTGTGAAAATATTTCTGCCGATAGAATTCTGACAACCAAACAGTGACTTCTGACGTAACCATACAGCTATATATCATAATACAATAATTCATAGGCAATGATAATAAAAAGTAAAAAATAAGAAAAAGCAGAAAATGCGTTCTTTAAAAAATTGAATATCACTCACAAAAAGTCGCGTATCTTCTTTATTTGTGAAAATTAAACTGCACATGCTAGCATTTTTTAAAAGCAAAAGAACTCAGCTTTCGAATGGTTTAAAAATATACATAATACATATTTAAATAACTCAAGTTATTTTTAGTTGAAAATAGGCAAATTTTTTTTCCTCGTTCTGTATAAATGGAAAAAAAATTAATGTGCTTCGGAAAAAACTTTTTGAAATTTGAAACTCAGTGGTTGAAACCGCACATTTCTATCTTATTTCGTTTATTTAAAAAGTATTGAATCAAAACTATAATTAAGTTCTTAAATATCTGAAGATTATAAATATAATTATAAAATTTTTGTATCTTACTCTTTTCACATTAAAAAAATGTAAAACATTTTATCATCTGATCTGATTCTCGTTCAAATGCTCGATGATTAAGATCAAGTCTGCAAAGGTCAGCTCACAAAATTATATTTTAAACATAAAAAAACTATATTATATATAATAAAAAAATCTCTCGCAACGGGAATAGGCGCTCTCTGTGATCGGTAAAACATCCCTGTAGAATTCACAAATATAATTATGTAGCTACGGCTACGACGCGCGCACCGTGTTCAGTTACTTCAGTTAAATTCGAGGGCCTGGGAGAACAATAATTTTTGGCTGGCACGCTTATGATTTTCTCTAGTTCGCTTAAGACTGGAGCTGACGATTCGAGCAGATTGTTGACGCGAAGTCAACATTATTCTCACGTAAATTTCTCTGTTCATCCTTTTTCGAACATTGTGGGTCGTTTAGACACTGCAGCTCGAGCGAGCCTATTACTTACTCTTAAGCAGTTTCTCAAGAACCAAAATTGCTTGATAAATAATAAAACTTTATTTTTGTTGTTCTTTTTTTATTCTAAATCTCAGCATTAAATTATCATGATACCTACCTAATATATGTAGTAAATGTCCATTCCATCATTTGATATTTTATTAGTTTTTCTAGATCTATGCTGTCTAGAATATCGTTGAATAAGCGAATGCATCGCCATAATAACATCGCAACTGGCCTGGGTCCCATGCGCGTTTGTTTTATTTTATTTTGTACTATGTACTAATTAATATTTTTTGATATATTTGGGAGGGAAGCAACAATGTTTAGATAGACAAGGGGGGTAGCCATGTGTGAGTTGAGGTAATTTTAAGGTGAAGGGTGAGAAAAAGTCCTTTATATCTCACAAGGAAAGTCAATGTTCAATTGTTTAACAAAACATTGAGTGCGACCGGT